CCTACCTTTACCTGACCGACATGGAGATCTCCGTGCAGGACCTGGAGGTGAGTAGGCGCAGGTAGGCGGGGGGTTGTCACCTCAGCCGGCGCACGGCAGGAAAGGGGGGGGTGTCCCTGCAAAGGCCGCGCTGGCACCGGTGTGTGCAAGCCGCGGGTACGCACAGTGACCCCAGTAAAAAGGAGACTTAAGCCCTGGAAGCATGCAGGTTACTAAATGCAGTGTCCTATTTTTCTTGGTTGCCTGTAGTTTTTCAGCTTGGTAGCAAGTGGTGGTTGGAATTTCTTTTGTAGGAATCGGGGTTTATGTTAGCATTTTCGGACTCATAAACCATTTGGTTGAAAAAGACCTTTAAGATCATTAAGTCCAACCGTAACACATCCACTACTAAACCATGTCTCTAAGGTAATGTAATGGTGCTAGCTGGCTGTTCTATGGATGTCACCTCACTTGTGAGCCCTGGGGACAATTATTAGCCCTTGAACACCTAATGTAAAGCAGTGCTCTTTGCGTTGACACTCAGAAGCCTTCCTAAGAAGTTCCTTGCTAATCATAGTCTGAAAAATTGCTAAGCAGAACTCTGGTAGAGGAACTGGCTGAGGCTTCCAGTAGAGCTGACCAGAGAATTTAGGGGTCACCGGGTATTTAAACAGGGAGAACTTCACAACAAATACCAAAAGGACTGGAAAGTGGCAGTGTGGGACTTGAGCAAAGAAGGCTCCTACACAGGCTACTGAAGGAATAGTAATTAAATCTCTAGAGCTTAGAATAAAGGCAAGCGCACCACCAAAGGCAGCGGGCTGGCATGCTGTGGCTCTGGGGGTGTGTGAGTGGCCTTGTCTCAGCTCTTTTGCTTGGCTGTGGTCAAGAGAGAGTTGGCTAAAAAGTTAGGGAAATAGCGATTGTATGCCACTTTTATTAGAAAACTTTTTTTTGTTCTAGTAACCATTGCATTATTAGTAAAACAAACAGAAAACTTAAATAATGGAAGATTTTCAGGCTTTGCTTTGTTTTAAACTTTTTTTGTTTGTTTCCTGTCAGGCTTTAGTTTGTTAATTAAAATAGTTTAATTATTTATCTCAAGTGCTGTAGAAAATCCAATTTATCTTGTATAGTATCTCCTTCTCTGCCCCAGCTACAGCCTTTTTTTTTTCAGAATAATGTAAAAATCGTGGTATAGACTGCTAATGGATATTTTCCTTCAGGAGGCTTCTCAACAGGTCGTTATCCTGCTGTTACAGAGCAGGAACCTTTTACTGCGACAGTCACAAGTCAGGGAGACATCCAATAGGAGATAGTGCTGTATAATCATGAGTCAGCTTTTTGTAGTTAAGCAACTTCCTATCTGTCAGGTGGTTGCTCCTGTTTCATCAGTTCAGTGGCACTCTGCATAGTGTTTAAGTGACTTTTGGGGGTTTCTTTTTGAGTTGAGTTCTTTTAACGAAGTCTCTTAAAGCACATGAACTTTCTTTGCTGGGAGATAATGAACTTTAGTATGTGGCATTCTGCCGTAGGCAATCCTGTTTTGCACCAATACTTTTCAAGCTGTGTTTGCCAAATTAGTTTTAGAAAAACAATTCAGTACAGTTTCTTTAATTCTTCAAGGTAGGTATCTTATTTAAATACTCAGGATTTTTTTTAAACCTAACTTTTAAAATTCACTTTAAACTTCAAAAGAGCTGACCAGTTTGGGGGCAGCCAGGAGGCTTCTTTTGATGCAAGGGTTGGCTGGTTGGTTTGGTTTTAACTAATTTTATCAACAGTTGTGAAACTCGGGTGGTTACCTTTCAGTAACCCTTTGTTCTTCCATGAGAATTAACTTAATGAAGTTCACTGTCTCTGCTTGTCTTCTGTACTGTCCTGTATGTATGTAAATTGGAATATATCATCATCTGAATGTGAAATAGCTAAACTGTATATTGAATTCAGAGTTTTAAGGAGCGCTGTTCTATGAGGTTTGCATGTTATGCTAACACACTTCAGCACACTTCTCAACTGGGCTTTCTTACAGACTCAGAGCTCATCTAAGTAGGCTTTCAGAAATAGTGAGGAAAAGATGATGACAGCTTTGTTCTTTTTACCACTGATACTGAGCTGAATCAAGTACCAAAAGCTGAAAATATGATAGGTATGAAATTTTCTCACAACAGTCTGTAAACCTCTTCTCTTACTACTTGCATTTCAGATCAATTCAAATGCCTCCTTGACTGTGTCTTTGGCACAGACTCCTTTCTGCAAGAAGCACGGATATGATCCCCAGAATCCCCTCTGTGCCCACATAATCTTCTGTGGGACTATTGTGAAGGTAAGCAGCTGAAAGGTGACACCGGGCAAGATTGTGTGCATCAAATAGTGTTGCTTAGTGGATGGAGAAGAGAAAGGTTAGAATTTCTGTGCGAAAGTATATGAAGAGATGTTATGTGCTCTGATACCAGAAGGCTAGCTCGTTGTCTGTGTGAGGAAAATGAAGTTACCACTTGATATTTGCAGGAGCCATGCTGGCATGTCATTAGCAAGGAACTTAGGAGGACAATACTGTAATGAGGGAAATTTCCCTCATTCCTCTAGACATGTTTTGAAACTAAGAAGTCTAAGACAGTTCTCTTGTGAATGAAGCATGAAGAAATTCCATCTCTTTTGCTCGGTTAAATTCTTTGGTCTGTGCAGTGTGACATACATTTTTCTGAAACTTTAGCGCAGTAAATATTAACCTCAGCTGTAAAGTTACAGGTGTTAGAGACAGAAAAAGTGCATTGTATTACCTGGTGGCATTGCTGCCAGGGCAGTATTCTTTCATGCACCAGTACTTTGCTGTCCCATAGAAGGAATTTAGAACTGCATGTGTTAGTCATTGAAGGCCTTAATCCCATCATTGAGGATAATGATTGAGGATGAGGACTAGTCATCATTACTCTCTCTTACATGATAGTCTAAATTCTTATGTGATCTTTTCACACCTCATGTATTTGCCTATTACACTCCAGCAATCCTTTAATTGCTGTCATGAGTTTCTTGCCAATAATGGAATTATTTATTTTTATTAGTTCCTCTTGTACTATATCTAGTGCTCTAACTTGTTGATTTAACCCTTAAAATATTTGCACATTTATATCAAGTGCTGCTACACACTTCAGCTCCCTTCTCTTGTAGATTCTCTTGGATTATCCTATTTGTGTATGTGTGTGTGTGTATGCATCTGAACAGGTTCGGATCTGTTTGTGTCTGAGTGAGCAAGTGCAGAGGATGTAAAGTAACACCTAAAACATTGCATTGCAAATAATTTGGCAAGAATCCATACTTCTATGTTTTGTGATTTGTTGAAAGATTTATTCTTATGTTTGTGAAGTACTTTCTTGCTCATACTTACTTTAAAAGCACCCTTTTGATATTAAAATCAACTACCTTGGAGTTTTTGTCTGTTTTGTATCCGGTTGTACACCACATTGAAGAGGAGTGGACTCTGCCACAGTAATGAGTCCTCTGGGACAAGACATGGCTAAACTGAAGAGAGCACACTGCAGTCAGCAGTGTGTTTTTAGCTAAAAATTGTCTTCACATGACTGTATCTTACTGTAACATTTTGCTGGTTATTGTTTAGGTGAATGATTCAGAGGTGGTCTTAGCAAAAAAAGCATTATTCAGTCGTCACCCTGAAATGGAAAGTTGGCCAAAGGATCATAACTGGTTCTTTGCCAAATTCAACATCACCAATATTTGGGTCCTGGACTACTTTGGTGGATTGAAAATTGTGACTCCAGAAGAATATTACAATGTCAAGCCTTAGTAAGTACTGAAGTTTTGCATGGTTAACTCTCATTATATTTTGAACCTGTAAAACATCTCCCTCTTATTAACAGTGTATATTACCCATCTCTGTTTTTATACAAATTTATGCCTTTTTTTAAGTAGTCTACTGGATGCAGTGTCCAAAACCATAAGATATGTTTGAATAGGGGATTCACCTACTAAACAATATCAAGTATAGTATCTATAGAACTATCTATGGTTAACTACAGTTGTACCTCAGCTTAAATACGGTTTCTTGGGAGGAAGGACTTCTGTACAGTGGGCAAAGTCACAGTCCTCTGTTTGAATTGATTGCAAGACAGATGATGCTTTGGTCTAATAGTTAAAAGTAGTGAGACTATTCAGCATTTACGAAGCTCTGTTAAGGGGATTGCAGCAATACTGGTTAGTATTTTTGGAACAAAATTGCTTTTGAATCTATCATTACAGTATTGAACTGTAGATAAATTATGTTCTAAGTCTTCAAAACTTTCAAATACATTATAGTGCAGTCAACACTTAAGCATTCAATCTTATTCTTACTCCTTGTAGATGGAAGAGGATCCTTGGTGATGCTGATATACAAGTGAATTACTTTGGCTGTTTAATGAAGATTTATTTTTTCTATGTATTGTAAAGCTGAATTAATAATGCAAGAAATCAAACACCTTGCATTAATGAGCTTGTATAACCCTTCTGAAGCAAATGTAAATTCTCACTAACTAGCACAGCTTGAATCATGTCATACTCAAACCTTTGCACATAAGCCGTAACTAAATTTTATGCATTGGATGTGATTCTAGAAAGATATCTATCTGTTGACAGTCTGCACTAAAAAGTGTTGTGTTTCAGTAAACACTAGTAAAATAATAATAATAATAATAGATTAGTAAATAATAAAACATTAATAAAAATTAGTCTCCAGTGAGACTAAAGGATTAGTCCACTTCTAAACCTTTCAGTGCCTTAGTTAAATAATGCCTGTTTGTGAGCACTCTACAATTTTATTTTGTTTTTAATACCAGTTTAGTTGAGATCTTTATGGTACTACAGGATGGCTCAGCTGACTGTGAAATGGAAAGCATTGCTTGTATTACAATGGCAGATGATATGCTGATTTCCCAAGTACTGTTAAGGGTTTTCTTTGCACGCTAAGACACTCACTTGTTTGAGCCATTTTTATATTTTGCTACCTATATTGAATATGCTATAGAATCCAATTGTGTTTATGCAAACTGTATATATACCTCATGGTAAGTTCTTGGTAACTCTTCATCTGGCAGTGGTTATATACCCTGACTCTTTAATAGAAGCAGGGTGGTAATACCTGAAGTATTTGACTTTAGTATAAGAGTAATGACTTGTAAATTCAATGAGAATGTTGTAAATGTGTTCTGATTAGGATTCTGAAATCTTCAACTTTGTTAGTCTGATCAAATGGCAACGTGTCAGCTTTTATTACCCTCAACAGTAGAATTTTTGGTTTTGGAAGCCTTATGCAGCAGTTTTGGGTTAGTAACGCAGAACTGAGAAAGAAGCAATACAGGGTGACAGATGATTCATGATTTGTAGAGAATGAAAATTAATGAAAGGTGTACATAATTAATTATCTGTTAAAATAAGCCACACAAAACCACAAAAATTAACACCTTTTTACATCCTCTCTCATGTCCCATGTGCCAAGTTCACAAATATGCAAAAGCAATTATGGACAATGAAGTTGATTTTACAATGAGCAAATACTACCTACTTGACAAAGACCATGAGAATTTAGACACCTTGGAGGCAGATCCATATATAGAACAGTGGAATTTGTTATATCAAATAATCTCTTAATCTTAATGTTGTTGTTATAGCACTACTTTTATCAGATACTGGAATGATTTGTGAAAGTATTTCTGAGGTAACTCATTGAGATTTCTTTCTCCACAAGTGGGAAAAAGTTATTTGTTACTGTATCAAACACATTCTGTGCTACTATTTGAAAATTACAATGTGGCAGTTTATATTGAGCAGATGACACTGATATTAAATATAAAATTGGAAAATATTTTTATATAAGGTGTAACAATTGTGGAATTATAAGTGATCCTTTGGCATGGACTTGTTTCTTGCCATGGGGTCACCTGAATATGTGTTACATGCTACTCTGTAACTTCTGATGTGTGAGACTGGTGATGCTGGGCTTTTGCTAAAATTAAAATATTTTTTGACAAGTGGTGTTGAGTGTTATTTATTGCATGTTCAGGAATACTCCCCTCCCTCACGCTCTCTTTCACACAAGCACCCTCTCTTGGAGTTTTTGTTTTATTGTTGCTCTGGAGTCTTTTACACTTGTTACAATAAATGGTGAAACACCCCTATTATACCTGGCTTTCCCTCCTTGGATGAAATAAGCATTTTTCATTTTTTTCACTTTCTCTTCTGCATCTAATAGTGTGAACTAGAACATAAAATAGTATCCGTGGAGATTCTGAAAATGAATACAAGGAAGCTTTATTTGGTTGTTTCTTCTGGCTAGGGCTTCTATGTTTCTAAAAGACTGTATCATCGGCAGGCACGTGTTCAGCCTGTTCAGGAAAGCAGGGCTCCATCACATGTAATGGTTTCTTGGGAAGAAAAATGCCAGAACACTGAATGTCACCCCCTTTCCTTCTTTCCCCAGCTTTATGTGCTGAGCATGACATCATACGGTGTGGGATATCCCTGTGGTCAGCTGGGATCAGTTCTCCTGGCTGTGTCCTCGCCCAGCTTCTTGTGCACCCCCAGCCTCCTCACTGGTGAGGTGGGGTGAGAAGCAGAAAAGGTCTTGACATTGTGTAAACAATAACTAAAATTTTGGTGTGTTTTTGCACTGCTTTTGTCACAAATTCAAAACATAGCCCCAAACAAGCTACTATGAAGAAAAATTAACTCTATCCCAGCCCAAACCAGTACACCACCTTTAAAAGAAAGAATCACTTTCATTTGAGGGTTTGATACAGAATAATCTTGTTTAGTTTCTGGTTGCCATATTGGATTTCATGTTAACGTTAGTACTAATTCCCAAGCCTTTTCTGATTCGGAGAGAAAGGGCTTTTTTGGTAGCAATGCATCTTAAACGGTTTTGTAATAATACATTTTATTGTAACAATTTTAAATCATCCAAATCTCTTAACATATGAAATTTGAGAGGACTCCAGCCAGATGTTTCTGTTGAAAAGTGGTAAATAAGAGAATGACTTGGTTAAGCGACACATACAGAGGGTTAATCAGAGAAGAACTGTCTGGAGTTGGTATATCTATGCATCTCATCAAACACTTGGATGAAAAGATTTTTGTATGCAGAAGTGGAATGTAAAGCAGACTAGGACATCAATGATATTAAGCATCTCTCTGTGTTTCTTCCTTTGTAATAGGTGTGTAAATGTTAATATCACTAGCTCAAGAAATTAATCAGCTTTTGTTCTATTTTTCCTCACTTTATTTTCTTCTTCCTGTGCTTACTGTTGTCATATTAGGCTCATTCAGGAATTCACTTGTGAGCATGTTACCTTTTTTCCTAAAATCCAGAAGCAATATTGTGCCTTAGAATAGAAGAGGCTGAGCAGAAGAAATTAATACAGCTGTAAACAATGACTCAGCATTTTGACTTCTGACTGTGTATCCTCTACCAGGGCACGCTTGACGTATCTGAGCATATTCTAAATAGTCATGAAGTCACTCTTCATACCCAGGAAGTTAAGCATCTCCATTCATAGATAAGCATCTGAGACACAGGATAACCTTAGGCACCTCACCAAGTCACAGGATGTTTGTTAGCTGGCTATCTAATTAGGGTAATCAGCCCGTCCAACCATGCAGTCACATTTTTCCCTTTGTCTACTAATCTTGCTCATTGTTATGTTTGTGTTTCTACTTCTTGATTTTCAATTTATTTCTTGTGTTTTAATGTAAGACTTATGTCCAATAGATTCTTGTGGCATGCTACATCGTTACGGAATAGAGCTTGTGAATATCGGTATTAGTTTAACCCTTTATTCTGTTGTATCTGGAATTAATTTCTTAGCTATTTAATGTTGTATCTGTGATCTTCACAATACAATAGAGGTAGCTCAATCAGTGTATTAGATTAATACAAAAAATATTAACCATAACTTAATGGATTAATTTGTTTCCAAAGGTTTTTTTCTGAATAACAACACACTGAATCTAGATTAAAAATCAAATAAACTGTTATATTATTGTTGAACACAAGAGGGTGCCATAGACCTACATTCGGGTTGATTGCTAAATGTTTTAATACTTAAAATCAGTTACTGAATTTATCGTAACTCAAAGATGCTGGAAAAGCATACGATGGGGGCATGATACAAAAAATTCTTTTTCTACAGTGCTTTACATTATGAATGCTTTGCTCCATAAACACAGCAGCCTGCCAGCTGCTAAAAAAGAAACATTCATCTTTTTGTGTGTGTTTTGTAATCATCCTGTGCTATGGAACGCTCAGAAGTAATATCCATGAAAATGATTGAAAGGCTTTTAAATTAAGAAACTCTAGTTAAGGCAATGGAGACAGGTATCAAACACCCCAGAACGTTGGCTGGGAGCAGCCACCTCCAGCCTCCACAGTGTTTATTTCTCTCAGTAGTTACTAACTGGAAGTGAGGGTGTTCATTAGTGTGACAAAGCTTTGGCTTAGACTTATTGTTAGCTGACTTGAACCACCTGATTCTGCTTTGTAATTTCCAACAGCAGATGACTCTTGTTGGACTGTGATTGCTTGAGTGCCCCCCAGCTCTTCTCCAGTGGTTTGGGCTGCCTGTGTTGAAGGCCAGCCCTGACTGGGTATGGGTGTTCAGGGGGTCTGGGTGTTTGGGTGGTGAGGCAGAGCTGGGAAAACCTTGCTTTGGAGCTGTCCGGGGGTTGTGCTGGAGCTCAGGTCTTTCCTGCTTGCCTGGTCCCACTGACTTGGCCTCAAACCTGCCTCAGCTGTGGTTGACCCTGGTTGCTGTTGCC